TCAAACTTGGAAACAGAAAAATGTCCTTCAGTCAGTAAGTGATAAACAGACTGTTCTGCAACTCTACAAAAGTGTATGATTTAGTGATTAAGAAAAAATAAATAAACCGTCACACCTCAAAAAATCATGGAGGAAACTTAAATGCATATTGCTAGGTGAAAGAAGTCAGACTGCAAAGGCCATGTACTATATAATTCTAGCTGTCTTGCATTCTGGAAAATGAAAACCTATAGACACACAGTAAAAAGATCAGTGGTTATCAGGAGTTTCATTGGGGTAAGGATGTAAAAGTGAATAAAGGAAATTTTTTAGGGCAGAAAACTATTTGGATTAATATTATAATAATAGATATAAAACTGTATGCACTTGCTAAAACCAATAGAATTGAATAACACAAACAGTGATCTCTACTGTAAACTGTGGACTTCAGTTAAGAATTTTTCAGTATTGGTTCTTCAGTTGTAACAAATATACCACGTGAGTGCCAGATTTTAACAAGGAAATCAGTGTATACATGTGGAAGAAGAGATAGGGAAGCTATCTGCGCTTTATGCTCAGTGTTTTGGTAAAGCCAATACTGCTCAAAAAGTAAAGTCTATTAATTTAAAAAATAGACAAATTTGAATGTTCTGTGCCCATATATTAAGCTTTTTGGCAAAGAGGAAAGACAAAGAAAACAGTTTTATAAATAGAAGGACCAAATTCCCAAGTAATCTAAGAGCAAATAAATTTGGACAATTTATTGAAGAAATATCATGTCACATCATTTTATTATGAAAGTTTCAACTCATTGGCAGAACTTCATGTGAAAGAAAACATTGTCACCCAGTTCTAGTGAAGTCTCAAAAAAAAATAAATAAAAAAAGAAATAGAAGTATACTTAGCAACAAAATAAAAACACCCTTAAGACATAGAGTTGAGTTTTCAGATATTATGTGTCCATTTGACTGTGACCTGGAATTATGGATACCTGAGCCTAGGGTGCACAATCAGGTTTGTCCTACTGAGAATTTGAAATTCAGGGTTGATTGACAGAGACTGTGGAGTAGCCCATGCTCAACTCTATTGTTGGTTGTGCTGTTTGACAGATCAGGTTTCAGAATTTCTTGTATTCTTTCCTTCCTAAGTCTCAGTTAATCAACTGTTTGATTTCCAACACATTTGCCTTTATGTTTAAATACGTGAGGTGTTTTTTTGAGGCTTGCAAAGAAATAATATCAGGTAATGCAGACAGTAATAGGCATTTTGTGGTGAAAATGGTAGAGTGTTGATTGTGCTTAATTTGGGAACCCAAATTAAACAGATCTGTAGAACTCAGCTTCTCAGCATCAATAATATGTCTCATTGTGGGTTCCTGGGATAAAATTTTACATGCAATTTTACAATCTTATTTGACCTTCTGATTTTTCTGTTCTTATTTTGGGGGTAGGGGCATATACTTTAAAAAGATTAACACTCCACAGAGCACACTTTGGAAAATACTTCCCTAGTGGTATTCCCAATAAGCCAGAATCATCCTGACTTAATAATGGTTCTATGAAGTCTTGGGTAATGTAATAAGATATAGAAGTAAAACATGCTTAAAAGAAAGGAAGCAACAAAATTGTCATTGTGTATAATGTATATTTATAAAATCTTAGAATATCAATGGGAATTGTTCAGATCAAAAGTTTACTGATAAAGTCAGTACAATGTAAATATTCAAATTCAACTGCATTTGTGTTTGATCTAGGACACTTTCGTAGCTGTAATATGGGAGGGAGGTGGATGGAATCCACTCACAGTAGCTGCAACAACAGCCAAGAGAAATAAAAACAAGACTCCCTAGATTCCTTTTTCTTCCAAGCTAGTCAATTTATTGAAGGAAGGACTTATTTATTATTGTGCCGTAGGAAGAATATCTGACTCACAATGTGTCCCCCATAAATGAATAACCAGATATTTCCTTTAACTTTATTGAGTGTAAAATAGCAATAACTGCCTACTGTTATAAATCGTACTACTGTAGAAGGTCTGGTAATTTTCAGGGGCCAGTCATATATTAGATTTTAACTACACACTTGCTTATCTTAGAAAGTTGTGTTACAAAACAAGAAACACAAAATGAGAAGCCTCATACAGTCATACTGTCACTCCTTCTTTTGCCACCATAGTAAAAAAAGAACGAATTACTGCTTCAGTGACTCAGGACCTGAGTGCCCCTGATGCTCTCCTTTCTCTCTTTCCTAGACTACCTCCCTGTTCCACGGAACTGGATATACTGTTTTGTTACAGAATTTACCCACTTATCTGAAAATTCTCACGCATCCCCAAGGTTACCCTAGTTGCTGTAATTGTGAAAAATTCAATTCTGCAGGGCCTGATTATTTTAGATTTTAAATTTTAGTGGAGACAGACTCCTGATTGAAGCTGGGCAAATGATCCTTCTCTGCAATTCTGGGAAAAATCATAGGATGATGGGAGGGAGAGGAGAAAGAGAGAGAGGGGTGGGGAGGGAGGGAGAGAGAGAGGGGATTAGATTGTAAAACCACTGGAACCATATTTTCTGACATAAGTCAAGTTCTTAAGAAACAGGCTGTTTTGTAAAAAGAGAAAATGAAAGGAACTTAATAATGAGGTAGTGATGGAGTTCTGAAGTATTCAAAATTTTAAAAATTAGTTAATATATTATCCCTGGATTTAGATAAAGTCCTTTCTTTTAGTCCTGGGAGACATCCCTGTGTTTTCATAATAAAACTTCAAATTGGACTTCTGTAACACTTATCCAAAATCCCGAATAGTGTCTCCAAACTATTGCTTGGAGAAAACTACAGTTAACTTCCAAGACTATTCTCTTCTGCTGAGTCTATAAATAAATTGGAGAAACAGCAAGGAGAAATCATAGATGTTTTAGATTTTGAAGGGACCTCCAGAAGCCCAAGTCTAGAGAGATAAAGTTATTTTGGCAAATTATCAATTTTTAGCTTGCCAAATAGTCTGGGTCTTAATGCTCTTTATTCCTGTTGCATTGTTTCATTTCCCTTTAGTTGGCCCATTCAGTCTTGGGGCTTGTCTCTTTGGTCCACTGGTCTTTTTGCCAATTCTCACATATATTCATGTATCCCCTTTCCTAGGCTCTGCATTCAACCACTAGCTTCAGTTAAAACTGCTCTCTTAGTTTACCCTGGACTCATACATAACTGTTTTCTAATCAATCTTTCTTTTGTACTGGGTGGAAGTCACCTTAATTAGCCTTCCTGAAGGGGATTTCCAAGCCCCAGTAGTTCCATTTGCGTGACCTTAGAACTTCAACAACAGGACAAGGCAGGACTTGAGAGATATGTTCAATACAATCAGATGTCACTGAAACGTTTGTAAGATTTGTGGACATGAAGATAGAATATGAAAGCAAATCAGAAATAAAATGAGGTTACATGTAGATTTATTGATAATCAGTCACCCCGAGTGGGTGCTCCAAACTCAGAGGAGGAAACTAGCTGATATGAAACTTGAATCCAGGGTACTTAGACATCAAGACAATTCCAATTTTAAAGGTAGAATGTTGGGATACTTTGACGCCTACACTTGGCTGAGGATTGGCTGAGAGGGTATAATCATACAAAAATGTCCTGGATGTTTATAGTCTACATGCTGTGTTATTGGATGAATTGTGTCCATCCAAAATTCATATGTTGAAACCAAGTGTTTATGTGTTGAATATAAGGCCTTTAAAGAAGTAATTAAGTTAAAACAAATCTATTATGATGAGCCCTAATTCAGTTTGGGTTGTGTCTTATAAAATGAGAAATCTGGAGAGAGACAGAAAGAGAATGGGGCAGGGAGAGACAGAGAGAGACAGAGAGAGACAGAGAGAGAGAGAGAGAGAGAGAGAGAGAGAGAGAGAGAG